CGTGTGATGAGCGTAAGAGCGGTGGAGAGGAAGACGATAGTGAGAGATGATGTGTTGAACGGTGACGGAGGAGGGGTGGCCCAGACGCTTGTGCCATAGGGAAGAGGAAGCCTTGGTACTGAGAAGAGCAGCAGGTGGAGACTTGGGAAAAATTGAGAGGTTGATAGGATATAGATGGCCATCAGTGGGGCCACGATAGAGAAGGCGTCCCGAGGCTAGATCCTTCACAAGACATTCAAAAGGAGTGAACATTAGTATGCAGTGGTTATCACAAACAAAGCGATGCACAGATAACAGATTTTGAGTAATGCGAGGGACATGTAAAATATTGTTCAATTTAAAAGAGGAAGAAGAAGCAGAGGCTGTGGAGGAACCAGTATTGGCAATCGGTAAGCCTTCACCACTGCCAACGAGGACTTTGTCATTGCCTTGATAGGGGAGCTGGTGAGAGAGATTGTGAAGGTCAGGAGTGACATGGTTGGTTGCACCAGTATCTGCATACCAGAGGGAGCTGGAGGGGGGAGGAGAGTGGGTAGCAGTCATGGCAGTGAAGCGAGCAGGAGGGGAGCGACCTTGATAGGCGAAGTTGGAGCGATGGCGACATTCGATGGCGGTGTGGTTGGGTTTGTTGCAAATTTGACATCTGATTTTAGGGGTTTGACGGAAGCGATTGTGGGATGGGTGGGAAAAGGTATTGGGCTGAGAGAGGTAAGGTGGAGTAGATGGGGTGGGTAGGAGAGGTGGGTTGGACGTGTATTTGGGAGGATTTGGGCCGGGAGAAGGGCGGGAAGAGGTGGGCCTGAAATGAACAGAGGTATGAAAGGCCTGAAAAGGGGCAGATGAGTTAGAAATGGGATTTAGGGTGTCACGTTGTAAAATTTCAATCTCTTCACTAATCAGGAGACCATGAAGAGCATCAGGGTCGATGGGGTCAGAGCGGACTCTGATCGAAGTACCAAAAGAGTCATACTCAGGTGGGAGGCCACGAAGAATGTGAGCAATAAGGTCAAGATCGGCAAGGGGAGCCCCGGCGGCGGCTAGACCGTCGGCAAGAGCCTTGATTTTTTCAAGATAGAGCATCATCGGGTCAGATCCCTTTTTCAGGGTTTGGAGCTGACCCTTAAGCTGAAGGATATGGGAGCGAGTGATGGCAGAGAAGCGTTTCTCGAGGTTGTCCCAGAGAGATTGGGCGGAGGAGCAACCGACTGTATAAGGGAGAACAGACTCAGAGATGGCAGCATGGAGCCAAATTTTGCAGGTACGATCTCTGGCAACCCATGTAGGATAAGCGGGATTAGATTCAAGGGTAGGAAGAAATTGGGGTGGGCATTGGTCAGAACCATCAAGAAGGCCATAGAGGTCAGCATTCTGCAGAATGGGAGTGAAGAGGGATTTCCAGAGAAGATAGTTATCTCTGTTGAGTTTGACAGGGATGAGAGTGGCGATGTGGTGGGAGGGAATGGCAGAAGCCGAAAAAGTAGAGAGAGAAGAAGAGGAGGAAGAAGAGGAAGGAAGAGGTAGAGAGTCAGAGGAGGCCATAGGATAGTACCGTAGGGTTTTAGGCGGCTGATACCATGTGAAGAATTAAGAACAGAGTAAAAGAAAGGTTGGAATTGTATATTTCATTGATACTTGTACAGTGAGAGTACCACTGTTTATATACACTTGAAAAGAATAATCTGGAATAGAATTGGTTACAAAGAATATGGAGATGATGACAGGTGTAGGATGGATATATGACTAGTAAGTTCCTTCTCTTCTAGAATATTGCTGAGCTGGAGATTGTATGCATTGGATTTGCTGTGTATTTGCACCTATGATTGTGTACTCTGTTTATCAAGCTATTTAACAGTAAAAAAAAAGATCCAACGGTTGAAATTTAAATCCAACAGTCAAAATAATATTTTAAATTAATCTAAATCAGATCCAACCGCAAAACTCACTCCAAACTCTATAAATATTAATCTAATTTTTTTTTAAAAAAAGGTAGATTAATATTTTTTTTTTCTATTTCTCATTTTATTTTTCCTTTGTCAATTTCATCAATCTCCTTTCATTCTCATACTTTTCATATCATTTTAAGCACATCATCTTCTTTCTCATACTTTTCATATCATTTCAAGCTTTCAATGGATAGCCGTGGCAAATCAATCTTTTCCTTTATCCCCTGAGCAAAAGTTAACCTCTGTCTTTCATATGCTCACATGGGGATGCTCGGTTGAAGTGACCAACGAGTACTATAGATTGGGTGAAAGCACATCTCTTGAATCACTTCGTAAGTTTTGTTGCGCTGTTGAAGCCGTGTATGAACAATGGTACCTCAGGCCTCCAAATCCAGTTAACCTTTACAGTCTATTATATAAGGCAAGCCGTCTAGGCTCTAGGCTTCCCAAGCATGTTAGAAAGTCTTGACTACATGCACTTGGAATGGAAGAACTGCCCATCTGCTTGGGCAGGCCAGTTTACTGGTCACCAAAAAAAAAAAAAAAAAAACTCAGTGTTGTGCTAGAGGTCGTGGCCTCTTATGACACATGGATATGGCATGTCTTTTTTGGAGCCCCTGGATCCAACAATGATATCAACATTTTAGCTCGTTCTCCATTGTTCAATGATGTAGTGCATGGAGTGGCTCCTCATGTTGAATATATTGTCAATGGAAATCAATCCTATTTGGGCTACTATTTGGTAGATAGGATCTACTCCCGTTGGGCTACTTTGGTGAACATCATCTTTTCTCCTGATAACCCAAAGAAGAGACCTTTTGCACAAATGCCAGAAGCGTACATGAAGGATGTTGAAAGAGCATTTGGAATACTACAGGCTTGATGGGCTATTGTTCGGGGCCCTACACGTATATGGTGTAGGGATAACCTCCACTCAATCATGATGACGTGTATAATTTTGTACAACATGATTGTGGAGGATGAGTACGAATATTTGGAAGAGGAATTTGATGCTGAGGATACATGTCCACAATGATCCAGGAAGGCCAAAGCAAGACAATATGAGCTGGAGCCAAGCATTACATACAAGTACCATCAAGATAGGCAGACTCTCTGATTACATGATTCGTCATAATAGAGTTCGATCTCCACATGTGCATCAGAGTCTCCGACATGATTTGATCGATCACCTTTGGAGGAGCTTTGGAGATGGTGAATGAGGTCGACAATTGTTTCAATTCTCCTTTTGTGTTTTAGTTATCTTGTGTGTTTTCTTTTGGAATAAAATTATATTTGTGGAATTTCAAATTTTTTAGGTCAAATTGTTCAAAAAATTAAATTATGAAGTTATTTAAAAAGATTAAATGAAGAAAAGTTATATGTAAAATAAAAATAAAAATTATACTTAAACCATTCTTAAACAATTTAATAAAGTTGCGGACTTAAAATTTAGTCCAGAGGATTGGGAGAAAAAACGATTTGAGTCCGGGCAAAACTCAAATAGTTACTTTTTGAGGAGGGAAAATTTGGGTTTAGCCCCAAATGGATTGGAGAAGGCCTTATAATCAATCTCGCTCACTTCAGGACCTAAAATGAGAATCTGTGAGGACCAATTTAACCTAAGTCAATTAGATTTCTAGTTAGTAAAATACGAAACGAGAAAAGTACAAATAAATACGTACGTGTTTTATTCAACAAAAAATTGGAAAGATACAATTGAAAAGTTCAGCCACTATATAATTTTTTATTTGATTTATTTAACAAACACCACGTGAATGGTATATGCGGCTTCTATTGAGGGTAATCTCATCTTTTTAATCCTCATACCCCTTTTAGCACTTCGTATGCCCAACACAAATCAAACTTGGAGATTCAATTTGGGACTGAAAGAAAGAGATACTGTGATTAAGAGATTCGCCAGAAACCACCCCTTTTTGACAGAACCCACCCTTGATGACAGAACCCAACCCCATTTGCAGACGTTCTAACCTTCTAATTTCGCTTATGTTCATCAATTTCATGAACAAGACAAGAAATTGCAGTTGAAGACAGGATGCTTAGGAACATACTTGTTGCTTTTAAGAAATAAATTTCAACCAATTTTATTACGGATGATGATATGGTGCGCATTTGCCGGTGTGGAATTGAGGCTGAAACGATTGTTTACTGGTTTGAAGATAATGTAAGGAGGAGGTTATATGTGTGTTGTAGAGAGAAGTATGGTGGTGGCTATGGTTGGAAGGATTGGAAGGACCCGAAAAAGCGTACCAAAAATGCCATATGTCAATTGATCAGATGAATAAACTCATTGGAAGAGAAAAGAGCTAAAGACAAGAAGATTGTGCAAGAGCTAAGAGACAGAGAAAAATTTCAAAGTGGGCTGTTGAGTTGTTTGGTTGTAATTTTGTTGTTGTATATTGTATTAGTCAGCTTTTTATTTGGTTGAATGTAGCTTTTTATTTGGTTGAACGTAGTGGCCTTCTTGTGCTTTCTTTTGGCTTAACGAATGTAGTGGCTTTTTTATTTGGTTAAATGTAGATTTGGCTTATTGAATTTGGTTGAATGTAGGCCCTTTTTTTTTTTTTTTTGGTAACTGAATACTTCATTACGCACAAGCCAAGGCAAAATACCCATAAACTAGAAACCGAGCATTACAACAAAAGCAAGGCAGAAAGCCTACACTAATCCAAGAGAACCAGTATCAACCAAAAGAAAAATACCGACCCAAAATTACAACATAAACAAAAATAGAACAAAAACATAATGTAGGCCTTCTGGGTCTAGATTAATCTGTGAAATACTTCAAAATTCAACATCTAACGTTTCTAATCCATCCAAATTCAAGATATTAACATCTCAAACATTTGAAATCCATCCAAAATAGCCATCTGTTGAAAATATACATTCCAACATTTGAAATACATTCAAAATCTATCCAAAATACTGTTGTCAAAATGTTAATTCGCAATTGTAAGAGCCAATTAGTAATATAGCAAGACAAGTACGATGTCGTACCCACGAGGACTGAGAAGTTAAAATTAGTTATGTACTTAGATTACCAAATTCAAGAAAGTAGGAGGTTAAGTCTAAAATAGAATTTAAAGCAAGAGTGATTGTAATTGTTGAACAAATGAGGCAAAA